GGGGGGGAGCTGACCGCGGATCGCGGTGCGTCGCGACGCCGCGCCAGGCGGCCGGCATTCGTCCGATCGTGTGCGAATGGGTGGGATGGGATGGGAAATTGGGTCTCGGGAGGGGGCTCTGGGGGGGCTTGGGGGCCACGCCTCCGTGCTAATAACTCGCAGCGGCTATTCTTCCTATCCGCCGATATGCTCCCGCTCTGGTTCGACCGTTCTTCCCGCTCTTTCGCCCGTTCCTAGTTTCCGATTAACGCCCAAAAAATAGTATCGGACCATGGGGGGAGGGGGGAGTGGGGAGGGGATGACTTAAAATCGACTGCAAACTCATGCTCCGGGGAAACTTTAGCTGACGCAGAATTTCACTCAAGCAATATAAAATTTAGTTTTGTGAGAGAAAAAGGGGAATTTCCTCGATTTTCTTTTGCTTCATCTGAGAGTCCTTGATGACCTATTATCACAGTCACGGAAAAAACGAGCTTAGGGTTGGGACCTACATGTTAGTGCTGGGCACTAACGAGGGTTAGATCAAATGGAGCCAGCAAGTCAGAGTAGTGCTGGGCACTAAACAGCTCGAGGCTGGGTCACTAAGAAAGAAGTAGTGTCAAGCCCTAAAGTGACTTTGGAGCGAGCGTAAAATATGAAACGCCTCCGCCTGGGATCGAACCCGGGTTGCGCCGGTGGAAGACCAGCGCGTTACCACCAGGCTATCGTGACTCCGATATATCATGGGTGAATTTACACCTGTTAAGCGCAACTACGTCTCGCGGCATCTGATTAGCACTACTCATGTTCAGTGCCCACCCTGCACAGAGCTTAGACGCCGGCCCTCAACTACTCCCCACTAAACGGCCAGTAGTGCTCAACACTAGTCTTGTTTTTTCCGTGTTTTTAAACAAAATTTTTTACTGTCGGAAATGGTAGGAAATAGAAATATTTGTTTAAAAATGAGAAAATGCATAGCCTATTAGCGTCATCAGGCGGCATTTTCCAATCATTTTATGCACGTGTATCTTAAAAAATTGGATGGTTTTGTCAAATGTTTTGTCATAGTTTTGATCTCGTCTAGTAATTGTTCAATTTAGAAACCGAGGATACATACTTGTCCGCAGTTGGTAGCGGTCATTTGAGTAGGGTTAAGAAACCGAAGAGACTCAATTGTATCAAATTTTTCTGAAATTTGCTCTTCTAAAAAATGTATGAAAGTGGGGACAGCGATGGACGTTTCGAACATATCATGCTGAAATACCTGTTTAAAAACGATTCATCTGACATGCTCCTTAAAAAAATTTACATGTTACTAGAATATATACTTTCGTGCTGAAATTGGGAAATCTGAAGATTTAGGAAGTGCAAATTCAAGAAAGCTCACCTTCAACTAAAGATGTTAATAACGTAACATTGGCAGCTTTTCTCCTGCCTGCAGGTAAATTCAGGCCGATTTTGTCTAATTTTTCCCTAAGTAATTTGCCTCCATTCTTTGACTTGGCTCTGAAACAAAAACATAATCAATATTATTAGCATGTGATATCCGTGTTATGGCATAAATTTTACCTTCTTCTGTCAACTATGAATAAATTGTATGTAGAAAAGCTGAAATGAAAAACGTACATTCATTCGGCAATGCCAATGAGAGTAAGTATTTTTTCCTTTGACTTTAGTATTCACACGAATAAATGCAACGTAAGTTTTAGATGTAGTATGGCAACTTTACTGGTGAAAATATTGTCATTTAAGAGGAAAAGGCCCTCAGTGCAGTGGCGTGCGGTGGGTTTAGTGACAGGGCAAGCTCTATAGCGTTCGCCATCCGGCCTCCCTAGAAAATTGTTAAAATTTTACGGTATTTGCTCTATTATTCGGATGAAATCTGATGGAACGTCTTGAAAAACTGTGGTTTTATTACTTTCTCTCTTACTTATGATTTCGTTTACTCAACTTGTTTCGAATGTTATTGAGCATTAGAGGACGGCTCCATGCTCTTAACTCCTAATTTTGCCACTTATTTGAGATATTGTAGTCTTTATTCTACATTATTTAGAATTTTTTGAGTTTAAAATTAGAAGTTAGAAAAATAAGTTAGAAAATTAGAATTTTCTGCATTTTAAACATGTTTGAGAATTTTCTAATTCATCACTAATTAGATCAAGTGAGCGAAATTGTATAGAATTTAAGGGCATTTGCTCCGAAGGAGCAGCTACAACCGCGACGGAAAGAGGGAGCAAGATAGCGCATCGGAGGCAGAAGCAGCGCGCTGCGGTGCGGTGACGGGCCAAGAGATGGCCAAGAGAAGCGAGCTGCGATCGCGCAGCGAAGGGCTCGGACTCGGAACGTACCGCCCTACCCGCCCGCCTTGATTCCGCCGCCGAGCAGTGGCTCTCCGCTCAGCTGATCGCAAGCGATTCTCCAGCGCATGAGTCGGCCCGTGTTCAGGCCGCGCAGCGCGCTGCGCCACCTCCATCCGCTCTCTCTACGTATTTCTGTCTCTCTCTCTTTCTGTTTTCAATGCAATTTACATACTGAACACCTTTTATAAATTATATTTGCTAAAATGTAAAAAATGCATGTAACAGGTGTAATTTTCTTCTTTCTTTTGAAATCTTTGGGCAAGCAGTGCTTGCCTTGCTTATCCGGACCGCACGCCACTGCCTCAGTGCCCCATAAGAATCGAACTAAAAATATATTGTATTTATAGGAACATTTACAACCCTGCCTGTGCGAGTAATCAGGTCCGTAATTGATTAATTGCCGATTCCTAATGTGCGGCTAACTGTTTACGATGGCGCGATCTAATAGCCCCGAGAACACTTGCACGTATTAATATCTGCATGGATCTCAACGCCATGTAATGAATGACTTTCCGTTTCCTCGGTTTTTATTTGAAACCATTTCTGAGTGATTGATTATCTTCCTGCCTTCAGAGCGGAGCGGAGAGCCTTCCCAAAAGACGTGATGGTCTGTTTAATGATGCAAGTTCTAAAACTCATTGTAAGTACTGTAATGTCTGATAGCCACACAGTGATCAGTGTCCACTCTCGCATGCAGGTTGAAAACAGTCGGTTTTTTTTTGTGCATGTAAAACAACTGATATTAATTGAAGCGCGGTACTTCACTCATAATTGATTATTAATGATGTTAATGATGGATTTAAATGGAGAAAAAAACAGTTGTTTTGCAATATTTTAAAATTGGGGGATTTCATTTAAAAAGTTTAAAAGCATCTACAAATTTTAGCTACCGACTAGTAAATGTAACAGGAACCAAAAATGACCCACTATAATCACTCTTCGAATTGGTGGAAGAAAATCAAATCATTGTTTCTTGTAAAAATTAATAAGTAAAGAAATACGCTCATCGGTTTCATTAGTGAATCGGTAGAGAAAATCGACGAAATTTCAATCCGAAAAGAGGGTGCAGTGGAAAAAAGGGAGAGAAAGGAGATGGGATATTCGAAGAGAGAGGGTAGTTTTAAAACTTGGCGCTCGCATTTCGCACGCAGAAAAAGGTAAACGAAGCTTCTTATACAGATGCGGAAAGGCTGCGAAGTTTCGAATAAAGACAAGATGAAGAATATTGTGTTTTAGGGCTTCAAACTTGAACGCTTTCATGAAGGACTGGCTTTCGTGGAGATTGTTTTAATCGTGAACAATGATATTTACCGCTTCTACATTTTGAATGCTAGCATTTACATTCATTTTAAGCGTAGCTGTCAAAATAATCAGTCAAAACTTATTATTAATAATTGCTGAACTAATTAACTGGATTGGACAAAAAGCAATTAATTTTTTCCTCACCGTAAGCCATACAAAAAGTGCTAAATGTAACTAAATCTAAACTTCTGACGGCGATGTGCTTCAAATTGACCATGAATATTATGTCAGGGTGTCTACCTAAACAGGCTGGCCAAAAATCAGTATTTTTACAGTACATCCCCGAAAAATTCAGTACCTCCTCCATAGAAAAATTCAGTACTTTTTCAGTACTTCTTTTCCACGAAATTCGAAAAATTTCAAAAATTTGAATTTCTCGCTCAAATAGGGACAAAGGTGACAAAAAAATGAAAAAAATTCCAGACCTTCTTGCGGAATTCCGCAATTTTTCAGTACTTCCGGAACGCCCTTAAAAACTCAGTACCATTTCCGGACTTTCCGGGAATTTCGGACCTGTGGACACCCTGAAGGTATTCCAGTGAGTTTTGACAGTAAGAACTGGTTATAAACATTCAAAACGTTATTTTCCTTGAATTTGAGTTCTCTATTGGGGTCTACGGTAAGGACAAAAAGTCTAAAAAAAGTAAAAAGTTTATTGAACAACCCTTACACTCCTTTGAACATAATTTGAAAGGGGTAGGTGTATATATTTCATAAAAGAGGGTGGAACGTACCTCCTAAGGACACCTCCGAGGAGGGATGCGTTGAGACACTCGGGTGGTGATAACCGCCTTCGAACCTCTGCTATGGTCACCTTATACTTGGCGTTGGAACTCAGGAGCGACAACCGACCGGGGACGCTGCAAAACACATCCCCCGGATTCGCCGAGCCACCTAAAACTAAATCCTTATCTTGCTCGCCCAGACGGGGTTTCATACCTGCAACACAGAAAGAAAAAAAATTAATACAAATTCCATCTGAGATTCAAACCACGTGGTTCCATTCGTGGCTTCATTTGGCAAAAAGGAAACAAGCTCATCCATGTAAGCACCTACCTATCCAAGGGAAACACACTGTTTTTAAACGAGCGAGAAAGAGGTTCCTTGTTGCAAAATTTTTTCTATATATAATACGCGAGAACATTCTAACATGGAAAGAAAAGGAGAGAGGACTATCCAGATGGAACAATTACATGATATTTACACGATTTCTAGCGCCAGATTAAAAAAATCCTCAGCTATCAGCAGTTTTTGAGCGTATAAACCCACTTGGGTTTCCATCACTCTTGGAGAAATCCTCAAATTTTTCCTTGTTTAAGTAAGAAAGTTTGATAATTTTAGAGAAGTAATTCCTTCACATTTTCCTTAACCTGTCCTACTAAGAACGCAAAGGGGCTAAAGGTATTTTTATAATTTGCACATGGTGTATTTACCCTTCGTTCATAATATTTGGCACCCTGCTTCACTATATGTTTAACTTCTTAGTTCGTTGACACCATGGTCTACTACAAAGAGCTGTTTACCGATGGTAAAATTTTCCGCTGTGAAAACTCAGGGATTGCAAATTCTGTCATCTTAGGTGCTAATGTCGAGTTGCCCCTCAGACGTAAAGAGAAAAGACGTATTGGCGAAAATGCCACGAATTTCACCTCAGCATGGGGAGTGAGCTCTAACCCGTCTTCCTCCTTTCGATCTTTTCGCGACCTCCCCGAGAAGTGATTACCGGAAATTAATGGAGGCTAGATTATTGAACTTCATTCCCGATTTATGAGGTAGGGGACTAACACGAGGGTCGATTTTTCCGTTTCCTCAGCTCTGACACCCGAATGAAAATGATGGTTCTTGACTCTCAGTCGTTCCGCGCACAGGATATACTTGTGAATATTTATTTTCATCTTGAATTTTTAAGATATTTCACCGAGCGCGCATGATTTGATTGGTTCGTTACTCAAACCTTATTAAGGAGGTAATGAAATTTAATCTTAGCGTCGTTAATTGATATGACTTTGATATAAATCGTTATGACACCCGGATTAATCCGGAACTCCAAAACTGAGTATCTCCATCGGAAGGCTTAAAGCATAAACCTCTTGAGATACAATTTAGAAAAAATGAAAATAGGACCGTTTTCAGCATCCTTGGAGGACACTTCATGATAGGGTATAAAGTCAAAAGCAAAATAATAAGGATATGACTTTCACATGACCGATTATGAAACATTAGGAAAACCTCTTCGTGAAAAAATATGCAACATTATATACGTGTTATCGAATTTCTCCAAAAAACTAGAAGTACACAAAACAGGTTTACGCTGCATTCGATTCTTTGACTACAACCTTTCCAGATTCCTGGATATCAAATAATTTTTACGAAGATTCAGGCTGGGATCCTTTACAAAATGACCATAGATTTGCTGGAAAAATTTGAGAACACTTGCCACTTTGGAACTGCCATGCTAACAATAGGTAAAAACGCCGTATGATCATTCAAATGTTGTCAAATTTCTTCTTTGAAAATATTTACTTTTGAAGAAAGTTATGAATATTGTTCCTTGAAATTTTCATAATTTTTAGATTAATTTAAGAAACAAAATCCTCAGCAAAATCGGATTAGAAATATTGATAATTTTTCCTATAAATTCGTAATGTGTCGAAGGAAATTTTGCAGCGCCTGATGGCTCATGCAATGTTCTTACTTAGAACGACATAGATCAGCTCATGTGCTCGATGGACTTCGAAAAGCAAATACTTAAAGATGGAAGGAGTGGAAAGGGTTTAGCTTCGACCCGAGGATTCTTCAGGAACTTCGATCGGGAGATCTTGGAAGCGCAGTAAAAGGAGATTTATCTGGGCCGCACAAAGCTGTATTAAGACGTTTCATACCACCTGTCAAAGGTCTGGTCCCTGTCAATGTTAATCGTCGCACCAGATTAAGAGATAAGGGCTTTTGCTTAACAAGTCAATGAAGCCAAGCTCATAAAGCGATGAACGACTGCTCTGCTGTGCTCTCGGTTGTAAATTACTCTTCCAGTTCTTTATGCATCAACACAGCGTAGTCTAGTTTGTGTGTTTACCGCGCGAAATTTCATGCTCTGTTCAGTTATTTAATTTTAATTGAACGCTTCTTGTCTCGTGCCCTGGATTGATGCAGTGGCGTGGCGTGAATTGCGATATATCGATTGCTATGCCATTTAAACCTATGGGAAAGGATCTATAGACAGTGTGTTCGCAGCGAACACCTTAATAATCGATTCTTTACTATAGCTTCAAATGGAGAAATATGGATAAACGATCACGCCTCGCCACTGGATTGATAAGCAGAGCTTGTGTGGGTAATTGCAGCACCATGGAATGGTTCGAGATCTCAACCGTGCCAATTTTTTTGAGAAATTTCATTTATTGGTTGCATTCGCCGCGGCCGAAACACGCTCTGAAGCGCAAAAGAAAGCTTCGAAAGTAGCAACAAAGTTTACGATCAACTTTCGGCAGAATGTTTTTTTTGAAACAGGATACTTGGCTTTCCGGGATTCGAGGGAAACGTGTTGGTTTAATATCCGGACTGAACTTGCTTGGTTTATTGCTTGACGCGTCATTGACCAGTCAGCGTTTATTTTTGGAAATATTTTATTGGCTAATCGACCGGGGAAATGTTTAAATCCAGTGTTCATCTTAGGTAATAAAGTTGAGCTTTAACATTTAATTTTTTTCTAACCCTACACCTCAGCTTCGAGCGCATCAATAATCTTTGCTTGATTATGACGGCCGAATGATGGGTTTAGAGATCTCTTTGACAGAGAATGGTCGATATGATAAACTTGCCCCCTGGGCAAACCCCTTAACACAGATTAAATCGATCGCCAGGAAAAGGTGAGTAAGTGATATGCCTATCATAAATGGTTCACTTCCAAATAACACAATTTTCCTCGTCTTTCCTGGAAGCCTTTGCACGGCACTGAGGGGTAAAAAGAAGTAAGAAAAAAAAAAGCCGTGAAATTATACACTTTTCCGGTAATTACTGGTTCCTAGAATACCCGGTGATTTTACTATGGTCCTGTTGATATTACGAAATTTTGTACCCAAAACTCGGTGATCTTACAGTATTTGATGTAAAATAAGTCAATAATATTACTCAGAGAAACATGTAAAGTCGTGAAAAAACATGAAATTCTTATTGGAAAAAAAGACAATCGGAAACAACGTAATTTTACAAGATTGTTTTTCTTCATTTTCCCTCTGCTTTTCAGTATTCAACTCGAAATTTTGGCTCTAAAACACACGTACACATCCAAAATTTTCAAAAACCTGCAAATTCGACAGGACTAAAGAGATTCTTGCAGAATACCAACCCGTTCACTCTGTAAAGTACTTCTAACGAATTCCTAGGTAGAGGCGTCACCCTTCATGACTCACTCCATTTCTTCACACCGCCATTTCTCTCTCACTTCACGGCTATCGAAAGGGCTAATCGCCGGCGGCGAAATAAGCCCCGGGAGGAGGGGGCGGGGCTCAAGTTCTCGGCAGGGGGGGAGGGGGTCTAAAATTGGTCCTTTTAAGTGACGAGAGCCCGCTTCGCGACTCTTTTTCCGAATCATTGAATCTAATTTTGCAATTAAATAATTCTCTCATTGGACGGCTCGAACCCTCTCCGCAGTGACGAAAACCAATCGGGTCCTAGGGCGAGCGGGCACGAAAATTGACTTCAAGTTTGCCCTCCTAATTTCCTGTTCCCGGTCGGCCCTGCAAGCGCTTGCTCGGACGGAAAAAATCTTTCACTGAACTTCCCGCCCGCCTTGTTTTCTCAACCGTGTATTTTTCACTGGATTTACCAATTTTCCGACCCTCGATCCCTCTCTCAGGGCCCTCTTGGGCGTCTGATCGGAGACGAAAGTTTACATACGACTGAAATTTGAATTGCCGCGTCTAATCTCTGTATAATTAAATTGAAGTATTTAAGACAGAAATGTTTCAAAGGAAAAAGGCCATAATACACCAAAGCTCTTCATTACACGCAACTGAGAGGAAACACGAAGCGTCTTCGATTTGATTCGAATTGCAATTGAATTGGAAGGAGTCAAGTCACATCAAGATCAAACCCCCCAAAAAAAGAAGAAGAAAAAGGGGGAAAACGGGTTTAAACTTAGGGATGAACTTCGACGCCCACTTTAACATTTAAAACATCATTCTGATCGCCTCATTTAAAACATTGTTTCTAATATTGACAGATTCATGACAGACACGACTGATTTTTTGAGGAATAAATTTACTGCTGTTTAAGATAAAATCTTCTCCAAACTCAATTTTCCCCGAAATGTGATTTGCCATCTTTCCGTTCATGTTGCGAAAAATAAAAATCATGGGTAAAACGAAAATAGCAAGCCCCTCGGCAAAATTATACTGCGGTGGTAGCAACACTATGAAATTAATCCCATAATTTTGAATAAATTGAATTGCACTATATTTAACTTAGTTTAATTTGAATTTAATTTAGAATTTTTGAATAGTTTACAATTTTCATAACATTAGTTTCATTCATTCTAAAGAGTTTTTCAGCGCGGAAAGAAGGATCAAACGTATTGATGATAATTCAAAAATAATTTTTTTCTGTGCATATTCTGAATTTCGGCGGAATCATTAAAACTTTGCCTCAAACAAATTTGTACGCAGATCAATATAGGTGAAGTGAAATTTAAATTAAAATCCATGCGCTTTGATCTCCAGCAGACGCGAGTACAATGGACCGGTCGGTATTATGGTGTTTAGAACCCAGTCTGGTCATGAATGGTCGGTCACTCCTTTACGACCGGTGCGGTTTCATGGGATGCAATAAGGAAACTGATTCGTGCAACACGCTTTGACAAATCGATAAATTGACTCCTTATGGCCGCAATCACTCTTCTGCCGCCAATATTCCGGGATTCTTCCCAGCACCCAGTTACGAAAGAAATTGGATCGTAAAACCTACCACACCTCGATCGGCTAGTTGTGCAGTGACCGTACTATTAATTCTACCTCTTCAGATCTTGGATCAGAAGCCATTGAATGCACTGATTTACTGACTGCCAAGGACCTCAGCGATAGAAATAAAGCATGATACGAGCGTTATTGACAGTTGTGATAAAAATGCATAGGTTTTGAACAAATTTTGAAAGTTCTCCTCTAAAGAAATGTTGCCTCCGTCACGACTCGGCTCAAATGTTACCACTACAACAACGAATCTTTAAAATACGTTCAATCGAAATTGGAACCACCCGTGAGGGGTAGTTCAAATGGAGAAATTTTACGATAATCTCTATAAAGTTGACTGAATTTTACGATATTTTGTAAGCACTGATCAACCCAGAGGGTTTTCTATAATTTGTACAGTATTGAGTTTTTTTTATAACTTTTTTCAAAAGAATTACTTAATTCATTTTATACGTTACATTTGAGGCTAAAAGTTTCATTAAGAAAGCGAGAAAAGAGAAAGCACAAAGGAGAAGAAAAACAAAGGGGAGAGGCCAACTCCTCAGGGGTATTACTCGCACCAGCTCCTTGACGTGAACTGTGCGCAGGTCTCACACTGTGAACTTCTACAAAGTCACTGTAATTAGTACATTACTTGTTATTCTCATGTCTCCTGCTTCGTCAAACCCACTTTGGGAGGGGGGCAAACGGATCAAAAACACCTAAGAAACACACGGAAGAAAAAAGTCGCGACGCATGGTGGTCTCCAGTGGCGAATAAGTAGCAAGGGAGCGACTTTGACTCTTTATTTTGAGCGAAAAAACGGGAGAGGAGGAAACGCAGTGGATAATTTAATATTTTTCACACCTTATATTGTGTCTAATTCATTGATTAAAAGCCGCGTACAAATGACGGGGCTCCATCATTATAAGGGTGGTAGGAGCGCTCGAATCCGCCTATTTAACGCCTTTTTAAACAACTTGACAATGTCGAGGGGCTAATCAGCTGCCGCGGGTTCGCGGGGGGTAGTTGACGGCCCGGTCCTCTCAACAGATGTTTACCCGCCTATTATATTCATGCTAATCCAGTTTTTTTTCGGGGGCCGGGGATGTGAACTGCGAAGTGTGTTGACGTCCGGATCCTGATTTCTTTCACTCGGCTCTGTATTGGTTTTGCGATTTACGGATTTCGATCCGATTTCGACCACCGCCGGCTTTGCTTCCGGAACACTTGCTCGTGTTCACATGAATGACAAGGAAAGAAAAGAAACTATATGAAAACAAGCGGAGAGTTTAGGGCGTTTTTGTAGGTCGGTTTGTCCGTTTGGGAGAATGATACCTTGAGTATTTTACTGGAAAGAGTGCCTCTTTATTTGTCTATAATATTTATAGATTTCATTCTTTGAATATTTTAAATAAAAAATTGGGATTACTATCGTAATGGAATAGTTCAGTTGCGTGACCGAGTAAATTAGACCTGGAAGCTGGGTTCAGTTAAGTTTGTCGTGCGAAATATTTCCGGAGCGACTCATTCTTCATCAATTTCGAATGTTTTCATATTTTTTGAGCATAAAAATTCAGTAATGCTAAATTTTGAGCTGGCTCTTAATTATTCTAGTTTAAACGTTATTTCTGTCTTCCTTGTTCTTCTTATTCCCTCCTCCTCTCTGTTAATCTATCCGATAGAAACACAAAAAGCCTTGGAAAATATTGATATTCCACACGATGTCCGTCAAATAATCACTCAATGGTGAAAATACCCATATCATTTGTTATAACTACTTTTCATAGAGAGTTTGTGATGAACAACACTAATTTGGCAATTTTAATTATACACAGTTTACTTATTTATTTTCTTTTTTCTTATCTTTTTTCAGTGTAGATAATCAGTACACAAGTTAACCTAAAATTTATATGGGTTCTGGCAACGTTGCGCAGTGCGAGGAATAGGCGGACAAGAGCAGGAACACAGCGCAAGCGCAGTGTGTTACGCGTTGCAGGGGCGGCAAGGCGCAGGCTCGGGGCAGGGACGTGAGACGTGGGCGGTGGTGGCAGTGGCCATGTCCAAGAGACGCGATATGACGTCGGTCCTAGGACGAAAAGACGTATGTCTGCTTCCACATGAGCCTCAAAAAGCATGAAGTTATATGGAGAATAAGGCTCATACGTGGAAATTGAGGTACGCCCTTACGTCAAAGAAACGACGATGAGTGGTAGCCCCGGCGTAATTGCAGAGTAGCTACAGAAGCTACGTTGCGTCCGTAACCTGTAATTAGTTAAAAAGGGTCTGCTCGACCACTGCAACCAGCTCCCTCCTCCCTCTTTTGTTCCCTCCCCTCTCCATCTCTTCCTCCCCGCGTTTTATCGCCTGATTCCAACACGTATCCGAGTCTGAAAGGGGTTCGACGCTGATTTCGGGGCTCCGGGACGCCTCGAAAATCGAATCGCGGCTGGGTTGAGGGAGAGGCGGATATTGGTTGATCGATTTTCGATCAATTAAAATAAAATATAAGAAAACTAAATTGAGGAAACTCAAATAAGTATTATTAGTGGGTGAGAAATTGAAAAATAAGTAAGAAAAAATAATCACGGACGAGATGCGAAAAAATAAATGTGTAAAAATTAAAGAATTGTTAATTGATTTGATTGACTACAAACAAAGTCGAATCGTACAGACCTTTGTAATCAAATTTGACCATGCTCTGCTTGATGAGTTCGCATGATATTTTTTGAGTATCGCGGGAAAATGGCTCTGGGCCTGGGTACTAGAATGGTACCGTCTAGATTTCGGTCCGCGATTTGGTACCCTACGGGGTGATTATTGAACTGGGTATAGACAAAGCTATTGACAAAAAAGGCAAAGGGAGTATGGAACGATTCTGTTTGTTGAAATGGTTGGTTCCTGTGAACAAAGGGAGAAAATGATGGACTAACTATAGGGTCTCTCGTGAATTACCGTTAGTTAGTCTATCACCTACCTCATTTGTTCATTCCAACCGCCCACGCCCCGCTTCCACCAATAGGATCCCTCCATACCCCTTTTGTCTTCTTTGTCTATCTCTATAGCTCTGTCTACCAGTTTCAATAATCGACCCGCTGGACGACTGGACACTAATCCGGATAAGGCTGGGTCACAAAAAAAAATCTGCGTTTAATTGCTCAATTGAACAACTGATTTAGAATGTATGCATGTAGATCAAATCTTAGGAAGAAAATTGGACAAAAGTTTTGCTACATATGAAACACACAACTAAAAAGATATCTAGGAAAATGTTACTGCCAAAAACTTTACTTACTCCTAAGAAGGGGAAGATCACTGATGAATCCACCATCTTCAACATTTGTACCCTGAAACAAAAAGAACGAGACGTCAGGAACTTCGAAGACAGTGATATTTTCAAATTCAAAGAATAGTAAAAATAATAAGGCATTAAATGAGGTATACTTACTTAACAAAGAGTCAAAAACAACTGCCAATTTCAAGTTTTGCTAATCTTCTTGCTATGTCTCGGCGTTGAAAATTTGAGTATCGGAGGATAGGATAAAAGCAGAAAACCAAAGTTTCGACATTTTTGGCACTTGGAACCTTTTAAAAATGATGGGTTCGCTTCCGATCGAAGAATCCTGCTTAACTATCACTCGGTCACCAGTGTCCCGTGACCAAGCACTTTCAACTTTATTTCTTAATTATTCTCCATTAGTGTGACGGACTTGCACGAGTAAAACAAGTCCATCTCGCTCCTGTTAACGATTTCATTAGTTTTTAAAATCGCAACAAAAGTAGTGCGCACGTGTGAAAACGAGTGAAAAAAACCGAAAAGAAAAAAATTAACGCGGATCTTTTGGACCATAAAAAAGGAAGAAAAAAACTGGAAAGAGGTGACTGTGGACAAAATAAATTTCAGGTCGCCTTATGCGCGTGCGTGTGCGAGAGAGAAGGAATCGATCAATGAGGGGAGGAGAGTGGATTAGAACCCATTGATGAATACTAAATAGATTACCTTGCTACAAATCCGAGTTATTTTACCAGTTGACACAATTCAACTCTGTCCAGCTGTCTGTGTCCTCTCGGTTTTACTTGATTTCCCTCCTTCGTTTGTTTCTGATAAACGCGGGTAAAAAAAATTAATTTAAAAAATGCAAGAATTCGGAATAAAAAAACAAACCGAATTTCGAACACAGCGGGAACGCGGCGAGGGAACTTTCACTTCCTTAGTTCCACTAATTGATAAAAAGTTTTTTTTCACTCTAATTTCTCCTCATTCCCTTCAAGCAGTGTGACCGTTTCAAAATTCCAGATTCGTACTTCTCTGTCCTTGAAGAATTAAATCACACAGAGAACCGATGACCAGGAAAAAAATATGACGATGACATCAGGTTAATCAACAAGAAACCAAAAAACCAATTGAGTTAAAGCTCCAAACGGATAAAAATAATGTTCTAGGGAAGGACCCCTCCTGAAGAATGATCCCTATGAAATCTATTGGCCAGTGCTGGAATTCGAGCAGGGTTAATTAGACTCCATTTTGCAATTGGGAACTAAAATTTCTGGCTCATCCGTGAACACACTTATGTGCGCGGGGAAACTGGTGGGACATACGTTGTTTCTAAACTGAGCCAGAAATTATAGTTCCTAATTATTGAAAAATGCAGTCGAAGTATGCATCTAGTTACGTCTACCAGCGACGCGTGTTAAACATTGTCAGATATCTAGTACTGGTTTGTCTCACGTCATGAGGTGGCTAATCTCGGAAACTCAAAGAGTAAGAAACTCCAAGAAAAGCGACACTGACACAGACATTTTCATGCGCTAAAAGGGAAAAGTAAAGGAAAAATTTCGGAGCGCACAGATCAGAGCAATGCTCCGTGCAATATTGGCCTCCAAATTTGGCAAATGAAGTGCGCGTGCGCTCAAGTTCCTCTTAACTGAACTCGATTTTAAAACGTTCCATTGCGTCCAAGAAAAGCGACACTGACACAGACATTTCCATGCGCTAAAAGGGAAAAGTAAAGGAAAAATTTCGGAGCGCACAGATCAGAGCAATGCTCCGTGCAATATTGGCCTCCGAATTTGGAAATGAAGTGCGCATGCGCTCAAGTTCCTCTTAACTGAACTCCATTTTAATTTTAAAACGTTCCATTGCGTCCAAGAAAAGCGACACTGACACAGACATTTCCATGTGCAAAAAGGGAAAAGTAAAGGAAAAATTTCGGAGCGCACAGATCAGAGCAATGCTCCGTGCAATATCGGCCTCCAAATTTGGCAAATGAAGTGCGCATGCGCTCAAGTCCCTCTTAACCGAACTCCATTTTAAAACGTTCCATTGCTTGTTTAAATAATTGTAAGGTTCTTAACTACTTTCTGCAACTGGACGGCCGCACGAAGGGCAGGTGAGCCCTCCGTCTATGCAAAGACGTAGTAAACCGAGGCTCTTACACCGTTCAGCACTCATCAAACGCACACCTTGTCTCCCTTAACTGATATTAAACGAAAGTCTACCAAGGGAAGCTATTAGCCGCGGAACTCGCGCGCTTCAGGAGCAGTGTTGCCATTCGTCGAAAATACTGAGATTCTAACACATGAGTAAACGCGAGCTCCAGAGGGCACTGAAAAAAAAATCTCGGTGTATTTACTAAGAAAAGGGTAAAATTACCAAGAATTCAGGGTTCTATTTGATCCCAGTTTTTTCTTAGTAAATTTAACATTTATGGAATTGGTAATTTTACTGAGAAATCTCGGTAAAATTATTGGACTTTCTCGGTAATTTTACTGGACCTTGGTAAAAACGCCAATATTTTTTATCGACTGTGGTAGAATTACCGAGATAAAATGGCAAAGTTACCGGGAATTGATTACCAAAAAAGTGGTATTCTTACCTGGAAAAAACAGTAAAAATACCGGTTTTTAGGTAAGCTTACCAGTAGTCTGTCTTGGTAAAATTACCAATAATTGGTAAAAAAAAGTGAGATGGTAAAGGTACCAACGGACCTTCGTAAAAATGCCGAGTATTTTTTTTTCAGTGATGTGGCAAGAGGGCTCGTGTAAGCGGACAACCAGAAAATCTGTTCCAACCAATGATTAGCTCCGCCGGCTGCCGTTCTGGGCTCCGGAGCTCGGCCGAGGAAAAGTAAAAATAATGGAAACGTTGACAAGCAGACATTAATTTTTTCTGTTTTTATCATAGTAATTAGTGGGAAAAGATGCGCCGTGTCTATTCCGCTGGCCTCTCGGCCTTAATGGATTGCTCTTCGCAACATGTCTGACAGCTCATAATTTTGACGCGCGTCTCAAATCGTTGACCCATTGCAGGCGCGCTACCCGCACCCGTACCTGTACCCGTTCCGCGGTCCTTGCCGGGATCCGAGGAGTTCCCTGCCGAAACTGGGGACCGAGTGGAAAGTGCTCTATTCCCTCAAATGTTCCCAAAAAACTTCGATACAAAAACAGTCATCTACCAAACGAAGAAACGTATATCTGTTCCAAGGCTACAGAGACGCAAAAAATGTAACCCCCCCCCCNACCCCCCCCCCCTGCCCTGCAAACTGGTCGAAAAAAATTCACCCCTCCCCCCTCCAAACTGGACGCAAAAAATAACCCCCTCCCCATTAAATTTGACTGTGTAATAATCGTCCAAAAGTTATATTAAATTAACGAAACGTAGAGGAAGGAGAGAGATAAGAAGATAAGGGGAGGAAGGTATGGAAGCAGGAGGTCCACAGCGACGACAACAATTACAATGTCAACGTCGCTACGGACAAAAATGACAGTGAGACCCCGTAAAAAACCGACTTTCAGTTGAAAAGTTTCGGCAAGAAGTTAGCCATGCAGACAAAGTTAGGAGAACCCCGTACCTCCCAAAATTCAGACCCGTTTTCTGTAGTTTGTTAAAAGAAGTGAACAAGAAAGAAATGTAAAATTAAAAGCCCGGAAGGAGTCTATCGGATCTCTATCATCATCTGTTTTCCTTTCTTTCCTCTTCTTTTTTCTGCCTGGAAAGATTATCCTCCTTCCAGTCCTAAGTATTTTCGAGAGAGGGTGTAACACGGGATAATACTTAAATCCCTCCTACTGTTGAAGTAGCACACTAACCGCGCACGGTCCGATCGGCTGACAGCGCGGCGTCGCGGTGAAAAAGTGGCATGTATTTAGAGGCAACTTTTAACCGCGGCTGAAATGACTAACTGATAATCTCACAAGTACCTTTTACACCGGACTCCTACCGGACTGGGTAAAAACCACGGATCTACATAGGCTTCCCATTGGGAGTTACGCGGTTTTGCCTATGACGGCCGACTTAACAAAGATTACGGGCACGATCGGGTTCCTCCTCCCAGTCCCGCTATCTCGCCTCCTTCGTAATTTTCTCCCTTCGTTCTTCGGATACCAATTTGCCAGCGCTTTGCGATGTATCGAATATCCGCCATTCAAATCTATGAAAAATGATCGATTTTCAAGGTGTTCGCAACGAACACCTTGATAATCGATTCCTTACTGCAGCTTCAAATGGAGAAATATCGATAATCGATCCTTCACGCCACGCCACTGCAATTTGCCGTGGTCCAAGGAGCACAAATACACGCACTTAAGACCAATAAATTATACAACCTTTGACAACCCTTGACCGCTAATTACCCCGCCATTGAGGGATTAAAACTGATCGGCATTAATCACGGCTTTCATCGGTCGGAGAAACAATTAAAACGCGTTAAAGAGGTCAAGGCCGTTATTTTGCTTTCGAGTTCTTTCGTGCCACGCAAAATCGCTGAAAAATTTAAACAATCGTGCCATTTTTCCTAGATCAACAGAGTTCGATTGATGAAATTGATGTCAAGACGAAAAATCCCTCGAGTTGAAATTTTCTTTGGAGCCTTGCGTGGTGCAAAACAAATACTTAATTGAAGACTTTGTGGGTAATTTAGCCGGATCAATTCGAAGAAAAAATTAAAACGTTTTTTAAGAGCAGAATATTATTGGGGCCACTTGATCGATTTCTTAGGTTTTGGCATGTGCAAATTTTAGAAAGCCATTTAAACTAATAAAAAGGGGATACGGATTTTGCGGAAAGCAAGATGCACAAATGTTTGGGCACTAAAGCCTAATATTCAAGTGCACTCTGTTGAGAAAAGGCGAATGGCACGGAGGATGTCAAGAAGATCATTATTTCATTTATTTTTAAGCATTTGAGAGACATTTCCCATCAAGTTTGATTTCTTTTCGTCCTCCAAAATACTCCCGACAATCACTTTCCCTCCAAAGTCTCCAGAAGACCGAGCAAGGAAGCTCATTAATACTCAATCAGATCAAAAATTAGTTTTTCTGTTAGAGTTTTCGTGTAAAATCCTCTGGG